GAGCTGCTTGTGTCTGAGGAGACCTTCCTTGACACTGTTGAAGTGCCAGGCCTTCCCCTTGAAGAAGCAAAGCGTCGTGAAGGATAGCCGTCAGGAGGCTACACAGACAGTTTGGACATTGTCCACGTAATGTCCTCGTCAGCGTGTTGCAGGCAGCCAAGATTGACAAGAGGTACATTGAAGCTTGCAAAATTCTCCGTTGCAATGTGAAACCACCGCACCACAGAAGGGTTCACACAAGACCTCATTGCCATATGAGTACAAGTTCAACCACACCCTAGGGATAGATATTTTGGAAGTTCAGGATTCGATGGGTCGTAGGTATTCCATTTTGAACCTGATTTGTCTTGGTACCGCTTTCCAGCAAGCAGTCCTTTTAAAGGAAGGAAAGAATCCAACCAGTTCACAAGTGTTGCGTGCTTTGATGAATCGTTGGGTGAGCTGGGGTGGAAATCCCGTTGAACTAGCGTGTGACCGTGGCCGTCGCAATCGCGGTGTTGTGGCAAAGTATTGTGGTGAGAACAACCGCCAAGTGAGACATGCCCCCTTGGAATGCCCAGAGGACATTGGACGCGTTGAGCGCCATGGAGGTATTTTGAAGGCCATGTATAAGAAGGTTGCGGTTGAGGTCCAGCCCATGGGACCAGATGATGTTGAAAAGATCCTCAATGAATGTTGCCGGGTGAAGAACGCATCCACACGAGTAGGAGGATTCAGTCCTGCCCAATGGATTTTTGGTTCAGACCCACGCGCAGCCGCCAGTTCGATGAATGAAGGTTGGACTGACCTTGGAGGACTTGCAGGACAGACAGATCCAACGTTAGAAGGTCATCCCATAGTTCCATCAGAAGTCATTGGAGACGATCAGAAGTTTTTAGATGCAAGATCTTATTTGGAACAACCTGAAATCCCAGAAGATGTATCGAATGAACCGTCCATCGCGCCAGGAATGCCAGTCCCCACGATCCCGGAGGACGTGGAAGTCGAATCGGAGGAGGAAGAGAGTCCAGTCGTAGGAGAGCAGGGTCGTAGCCGAGCCATGCCGACTCGCCGACAATCAGTTTTCCCGCCGAACAGTCGAAACGTCCGCCAGCGGACCGAATCGACGCAATTGCCAGTCTCAGTGTCAACTCTGAGACAGCGCCCGCAAGAATCGTCGAACCGGAGACGCCTTCGAGCGCTCCCATCATTCCTGAATCGTCTGGTAGTGTGGGACCACTGCCATGGCCCATGATCCAGGATTCCCTGGACGACCTTCCGTTGCCAATTCGTCAGCATGCCCGGAGAGACGAAACAACGCCGGAACAGGCAGAAGGTGAGAACTCAGGTTTGGTGGTATTTTCTGGGGGAACCACAGAAAAGAAGTATCTCATCAAACCTATGGGCAAGGGAGGTAAGTTTGTTACTTTCATGTGTGCCAGGTTTGGTGACGGTCGACCTGAGGATTTGATTGTTGAGGGTGACAACCAGGGTCAAGTTGCGGGGAAGTTGCTTGATTTCAACAGTGCATTGCCCAAGATGAAAGGCCTGATCCTTGAAGCCATGAGAGGTGAGCGGGGTAAGTTCGAGCACTATTCCGCAGCAGTGTTGATTTCTGGACCTGACCTTCAAAAACTCCTGAGGCAGGCCCGCACCATAATCCCCTCAAAGTGGGTACTGGTTGACAAACACGAGTACCTAAAAGGCAAGAAGGAATACACGCCCAAGATCAAGGCAAGGTTGGTTGCTTGGAAACTTTGAAGACCAAGATGGCTTGCGCACGGACGCTCCAACGAGCGACCTGGAGACTCACAACCTTGTTGTTGCATGGGCAGCTTCCCATGGTGTTCCACTATATGCATGTGACGTCACCTCAGCATATTTCCAAGGGAACCCGCTTGATCGCGTGGTTTTGATGAGACAACCACGTACAGGAATCCCAGGGATTGACAAAGATGCTGTTTTGATGGTTCGTGTTCCAACGTATGGTTTGGCAGATTCAGGACGAGGTTTCTGGAAACGTTTGGACCGTGATGAGCCTGAGCCATTGGTTGATGACCTGTTGTAGCATATTTTGCAGAAGGTGAAGCCAAGGTGAAGGAACTTTTGGACAAGTTTGACATTGGAAGTTCAGAGTCCCGTGATTTTCGATACTGCGGAAAACAGTTCAAGACAACCGAAGAAGAGATTGCAGTTGATGTGGTAGAGACAACACACGCCGCGTCAAGCCTATCCGTGTTGAGTCAGGAAGGCCAAATGCAGATCCGCTTCTCGCTCATGAAACGACGCAGTTGAGATCCGTTGTCGGTTCTCTTTCATGGATCGCTCGCCAGGGCAGACCAGATCTTCTTTACCGAGCTTCGAGGCTCCAGGCAAACACCAAGGTACATTGGTTGAAAGAAGCCAACGAAGTTCTGGAACTTGCGCTGGAAGGAATGGAAGATGTGAAGCTTAGGTTTCCATTTCATTTGATGGATTGGGACAGCATTGGCGAGGAACTGAGTGATCTCCCCGTTGATCACCATCTCCGGGATCCACAAATCCACATCACCCTTGACTCCTTCCACCACCCAGTCAAACTTCCTGCTGACGCCCGCAATCAGGGCAGCGTCCGAGTCGCTCTCCACCTATTGCCGGAATGGGCACGGGTGCTTAATATTCGTGTATCAATCGCGCTAACGTCACACAAACAACGCGCGCAATTCAAATGGGCCCACGTACCCCTGTCTGCTACCAGCCTTCATCCAGGTGCGATGGCCGCGCTTTGCCGCAGGGCAAGGTCGCGGCTGAGTCCCCATCACGTAGGCCCTGGCGTGGCGCTTGATGCCTTCCAGCCGCTCCATGAAGAGACAGCGAATGGACGGAGGAGAAACAAAGATTGTGCCTATATAGCGCTTGAGGCAAAAGAGCTCTCGCCAAACAACATCTTCATACCAATTGCAACTGGCCAGATCAACTACTCACATGAAGGTAACCCTGCTGTAACATCATTGCTTGATCGCTTGCTTGATCGCTAGCTCGCTTTCTACAGCGATTAGGATAAGAATCCTCTATGCTTGCTCGCTACACCTCTAAAGATAGGGTACCCTCTACTGTGATCTGTACATCTGTGCCCACGTTCTTTTCAAGCTTGCTTGTTCACTACGCCTCTAAACGGGCTAGGATAAGGTACCCTCTACTGTGATCTGCGCATCTGTGCCCGTGTTCTTTTCTTCAAGCTTGCCTGTTCACTACGCCTCTAAAGGGGCTAGGGTAAGGTACCCTCGACTGTGATCTGCGCATTTGCGCCCGTGTTCTTTTCAAGCTTGCTTGTTCACTACGCCTCTAAAGGGGCTAGGATAAGGTACCCTCTATTGTGATTTGCATCTGTACCCGTGTTCTTGCAAAGCTTCCTTGTTCACTACGCCTCCAAAGGGGCTAAAATAAGTACCCTCTACTGTGATCTGCGCATCTGTTCCCGTCTTCTTTTCAAGCTTGCTTGTTCACTACGCCTCTAAAGGGGACTAGGATAAGGCACCCTCTACTGTGATCTGCGCCCACGCCGTTGTTCTTTTAAAGCTTGCTTGCGCTCTACGCCTCTAGAGGGGCTAGGATAAGGTACCCTCTACTGCGATTTGCATTTGTCCCCGTGTTCTTGTCAAGCTTCCTTGTTCACTACGCCTCTAAAGGGGCTAGGATAATGTACCCTCTATTGCATTTTGTCAGTGTCGGACGCATCCTTCGCGAACGAAGCGGGAAGGAAGTCACAGCAAGGACATTGTCATTTCCTTGTGCCAGCAGAGCAGTTGAAGAAAGAGGGTCACGATCATTTTGACGTGTATCCCATATCATTCAGCTCAACCACAGTGAAGAGGGTCTGTAGGGCCGCTCTCCAGGCAGAGGCTTACTCAATGCAAGGCAGCATGGAAGCAAATGACAGACTTCGAGCCGCCGTCGTGGAGACGAAAGGACTCCTGCCTGCAAACCTCCGTGGATGGGAGGACATCTGCCGCAAGTGCTGCGTGCAGTTGAGTTTGAGTGATTGCAATTCCTTGACTTCGCATTTGAATGTCGAGATCCCATCGAAGGTGCAGGACAAAAGACTCGAGATTGAACTGAGAGCTATTCGTCAGTGTTTGCGAACAGCCGACGAAAGGCCGACCTATGTCGACTACCTCGAGGGAGGAGATCCAGATCGAGTGTCCTGGATTCATACTTCGAGTATCTTACCAAGGTTATGAAACCTGATTTGCTTCTCAAGATTCTTCGAGAGAACAAATACAAAGTGCAGTTTGAGAAGATGACCAAGCAGTCGTCGCCAGGAATTTTTGAATTTCATTTGATCTCGCACCTGAAGAAAGGATCAGTGTGAATCCACCCTCACTTATCCATGTAAAGACCAGGTTGCGAGATGCGATGCTTGATCCCTCCTGTTTTTGTACAGTTTGTTTCGCGACATTTCGGCTTTCCAGGGCCCTTGAGTCTAGGCTAGAAAAGTGTGCGTGTCCGCCCAGTCACACCAGTTTCATATACACTCAACCCTCAGGAAGTAAATCCGAGGAACTTCAGATATCATTCATCTCCTAAAGTTGTGCAAAAATCCTGGAGTGGGGTCCATGAGTTGTGCAGTCATGAAAAATCATTCAGAAGCAGTTGTAATTACCTCACCAAGGCTACCACACCGGGGTGGATTCATGCAAAGAGGGCGGATGTCAGTATTCTTTCATCTGCAACACGGGAGTGGAAAGACTGCATCAGTTTGCAACACGTTTGCAGTTTTGCATCTGTCCTTTTTACGGCATCAAAAAAGACACGCGATGGGACCTTTCGGTCCTGAAAGACACGAAATAAGGAAACTCATTCATCTTTTTCTGGGCGGGAACTTGGAGTGTTGATGAATCACTCCAAAACACAAGAAATGGTTTGGAACTCTCCATATGCAGCCATTGCTGTGGAATCAAAGGGAAGATTCTCAGCAATGGGCTTTTCTCCCTCAAGGAATCAAATGTTTTTTTTTCTCCCCTGTCCAGCAAGCCCCGGAGGCGATCATGCACTCCGAGGAGTCGATCTCTTTGATCATCCCAGGCGCTTTAGTGCGAGAGAGCGCTTTGCGCGCTGCTGCGCTGTTCGGTTCGGCGGGCTGGAGAACGGTTTCGGAGGGTGTGAGAGTTCACGGGCGGTTCTTTCCTTGCGCCAAGAAAAAGGACACAACTCGGTGGAAACGCGCGGTTCATGTGCCATCATTTGTTTGAAGTTCGGTCTTTCGAACTTTGAGACACATCAGACATTACGAGAAACACCACGAGATGTGGAGACGCTGGGGAAGTTTCATGTGGTGCAGATGTCGTACAATGCGTGGTGTGCATCCAAACGCACACCCGCAGGACAAAACCGCATGCTTCTCAAACAAGTTCTACATATGAAATGCCAAAGAAACCTGCGAAGGCAACTGGCTCGTATTCCCAGGGTCAATGCTGCCAAACCTTCCTGCCCGAAAAGCACCTTGCCTATTGGTAGCGGTACCCACTTCGAACCGGCTGGTTCAACAAAAAATGAGCCTTTTCCGCCCAGTACAGAACGAAACCGAAAAACAAGTTGAAACATGTTGAAAAACAATCGAACACATGTTTTCAGCCCACTCGACTAGCATCCTAACAAGTCCAACGAACGTGGCCACGACGTCTTCGCAGCGTCTCTTGGACCGATCAGGATAGGCTTCACCGGCTTCACCTTTTGTATCATTGGCCGAATGACATATCTAGAGACATGATGATACATGTACAAATATTTTTACATATATATATATATATCACGTATCTATTTAGGTTCAGAGTTTTTTTTTTGATTTTTAGAGGGCATATTTCTAAATGTGAGTTTGACAGGGCAGTGGGCAGTGATCAATCAAACTCAACAAATTCTGTGCTGGCCAAGATTCCGGCGTTAATCCTAACCAAAAAACATTGACATAGTCAGTCACCCAAAGACAGGGCTATCATGTTCCCCATTGAAACAAAGGGCCTGGTCGCAAAGTCAATTTGGTACAGTGGACCGTAGGAAACAGTTTGGCCCGAAATGACGATACCGTCTCCATGCTGGAAGTTGGTTCCAGGCTGAACGCTTCTGTAGAGTTGGTAAAGCATAGGCTACTAGACACCTATCCCGATGCTTTCGGGACCGCAGGTACTTCCACCTCTTTTGATGCCCACAGTCACGGAAGAACTCCCTCTGTTTGCCGGTAGGAAAAGCAAACACCCATGTCTAAGTGTTTGTCAGAGTATGTCAGGGAATCCGTCATCGGATGCTCTTGTCCCTAAGGGCCTTTGCTTTTTCTTCGTCCGCCCTTCTCGTGACACTGTGAGATACTGCAAACTTTCCCAGCCGCTATTTTGGGTTCCTTATGCGTCTCTGATGGAATGCGGCCCTTTGTCAGGAGCTGCTTTGGTGAGGGTGAGAGTCTGAAGGCAAATACAATACATGCTTTTCATGGCACAATACACACTTTGGAATGCCATGCTCCAACATGCTTCCAAGACACCTGGTCCACGGCAAGTGATTGGTGATTGGCCGCTGAAGCCTTCTTCGTGGCAGGCGAAGAAGGCCGACAAGCGGGTACCTTCTCGGCCAAGGCCAGCCGGACGAGTGACGGCGTTCTTCGCCGCGCTGCGGCGGGGGCAGCGGACGTGGACCATTCTTGTTCCCAAATGTTTGTTTTGAAGTAGACATTATACTCAACAGTCTGGAAGATGTCTACATTCTACATCAAACACAATGGCTGCCTAGCGCCCACACAAAATACGCCTTTCATTTGGAGGTTTCCTCTTCAGGGGAGCCACCACTTCCGTTCGTCCGCCAGATCGAGTTCTTGGTGACCTCGCCTGGCCTTGACAGCAGGGAGGGCTATGTGGTGGTCATCCGCGTCAGAGAGATTCTGCAGGCGAACTCTGTGGGACGAGAATGGCGGATGAGAAGTATGTTGGGTGAGATGAGAAGTATGTAGATCACATTACATACTTCTCCATGGATTTTTATCGGATTTGATCATCATCTTCGATGGATCGACTCGTTTTGGACCCGGATGTCATGGATCGACTGGCTGAGAAGTAGCGCTTGCCGATGATTCTTCCGCCAGGCTGGATCCGGTCTGAAGGCAGGAAAGGGCGAGCTGCAATCTTTTTTTTTTTGTTGTTGTTGTTGTTGTTGTTGTTGTTGTTGTTGTTGTTGTTTAGTTTTCTCTTTGAATGTTTTCAATTCAACAGATGCATTGCACATGGATGTGCTGTAGGAATGTGGTGATGATGATTTTCAAGTGAGCAAGCAAGTAAACCACAGGCACACTGTGGAGAGCAGGTATACATTGTGGACTCGATCTTTCTTGTCGGGCAGGGCACGCGAGAAGTAGCTGCTTCGTTGTTTCTGCGTTGCCCAGGGCAAAAGGCTGGCAGTCCGTGCCACCTTCAAGGAGGAACAAATCCTTACGAAGGCGAGCCGGCGAGACCGACGGCGAGACCAACGGCGAGACCGACGATTCACCGAGCTTTTTCGTCGGTCGTTGCCGCCTGAAGGGGACCAAAGCTAAGAGGAGACCTGTCACAGCCCAGTGGACTAGCTTGAGAGTGGCAGGCTGCCAGTTCTCACGAGGTTCACGGAAAACACAAGACCCGGTGCTTGCACATTCCACCCGTTGCCCTGCGACACGAGTGTGCGTTTGGTGGCACAAGATCCACGCGGTGTTTGCCGGCTACGCTGGTTGAAGAAGGCCCTTTATATAAAGCCGCACGAGTCGAAGCTGCGGTGTCACCCAAGGCAGGCGCTGGGATGTTGGACATCACTGAGACGATTCCTGCCAAGGTGCCGGCCGCAAGTGTAACGACTCGGTGAAGATGGCAGCACAGAGCTGCACAGTTTTGCTGCAAAGGAGGTTCATGTCAGTGGAAGCATTTTTGGCTGGTGTTGCAGTCGATCTTTGCAACTACCTCCAGCAGTTGTTTGTGTTGACGGGTACTCGTAGCTTGCCAGGCAATGTTGAAGAAGATCCAGGACAACATGAAGCAAGAAGGCAACGGGAGCTTGACACCTCGAGAGAAGGTTGGGAGCTTGTGCTGTAGGACAGAGATCATCCAGTGCTAGGAACTTGGACAGATCAATAACGCCTTCACGCCTGGCCTGGCCTTCCGGAAAAACATAGAACACCTTAGTAGACAGCTTGTTAGCTTGTTTGCACACTATTCAGCTTGTTAGACCGTGCCCGGAAACGTCCCTCGGGGTCCCTCCGTCATCGAAAAAGAGACGCTTCGTTTCCGCAACCGGACACGTGCGAACCGTCGGGGCGAAGACGATGGCGTAGATGTTTGCAAAGATGGATATGCTCTCCCAAAAGTAGGGCGTGGGCCCTACTACATCGAGGGAGCTTTGAGAACACACCAACTGAACCTGCCAGGTGTTGAAGAAACCACAATTGACAAGGCGGGATTTGCTTCCTTGGTCGTGCCCGGACCGTGCCCGGAGGTTTGGGGGGCTCGTTTCGTTCGGACGTTCTGCTCTGTTTGGAGTGTCACATTTCGCTTCTTGTTCAATTGAACAGAATTGTCGATCAACCTGCAATAAGCGATGCCAATCCCAGTCGTGTGTTTGAGCCATTTGACCGACTTCTTTGGCAGATCTTGGATCTCACAGCGTTGCAGCAGAGCCGCATTGCAATGAATCGGTCCTTGCAGCTTGGCAGAAAGAGTAGAGACCTTCAGGTAGACTCTAGACCTGTTTGACCCTGTTGTGGCTCACACCTCCACTGCCAGATGGGATTACTTCACCTCTGGCCCAAAGTGAGGGCACATCAAGAATCCATCTCAGCAAGAGAAGAGATGTGAGGTAACTCTTGCTGATCCAGTTTCTTTGGTAACAGGGAGGCACACAATGAACCTCCTCTCCTCCAACCACGATGCTCCCTGCCGGCGGATCCATGTCATGTTGCCCGTCGATGCCCCAGACCTTCCAGGTAAAAGGCACGTTCGTCGTGAGACTGAAGGAGCCGAAACACAGTCTTAGTCTGGACGTTTTCTTCCCTCTCCGTCTTCAGTTTTGAAGGCTGTGAATGTTTGATTTGGACAGATGTCTTGATTCTTCAGTGAGTTCAAAAGGCACCCTTGACGTCACAGCCGTTGTAAGCCTTTCCGACCTAGGTCGACCGAGGTCGACCGGTCCGGTCTGTCCGCGGGCGGCGAGCGCGGTCGAGGCACTTTGTGGTCTCGAACGAGGATGTGAAGACAGAGCAGGTGCACTTGAGTCTGGTTCCTTGGCCAAAACTTCGGTGCAGGTGGCCATAAAAGGACGGACGAGGACATGGACATGCGGTTCAGAACATCTTAAAACCCAGATGGAGAGACATGGGGTTTGTCCAGGGTGTGTATCGAACAAAGATCGTTGCCGCTTCTACCCCTTCCTTTCACACCGAGTTGTTTGCAGAGATCATAGCTTTAGCCATGTGTGCAAACAGTAATAGTAACAGTGGTATTGGTCTTTAGCATTGCTCAACGCTTGCGGCATCTGGATTTGGCCAGACAGCCGGCCCCACATGCTCTTCCAGCTCTTGTCGCGCCAGGTTGATATGGATGTGTACAACCAGACACTCAGATGGCAAGATCAATTTCCAGAGAATGCGGTTAGCATGTGGAATGTAAGCATGATTGCAATCCTTATATAGCTAAAAAGCAATCTCCACTCACGGTCGGCTGATGTGAGCTGACCACAGATTTTTTCAGGATTCATCTTCAAACACTGCTCTAGACTTGCACACAGCTACCTCTCAAGAGACTGCACCGCCTAGATATGAGCACACAGTTACCTCTCAAGACGATATCCTGGCGCTGCTATGACCTGCAGTGGTGTGTTTGTTCAGACGACACGACGTGTCCACGTGCCACTGTGTGCCACTGAGGAAGAAGGGCAAAGACCGAAAAGCGACACCGAGATCACCAAGGCCAATTGAGGAGGCGGGGGACTCGTTGCTATCTTCTTTTTTTGAGCCAGATTTGCTGGCTTAAGCTGTAGTGCACTGTAGTGGTGGGTTTCGTGAGCTTCCAAGAATCCTTTTTGGACTCAAACGTGTCAGCCTCCGTCGCATTCTGCAGGATGAGGACGAGGTGGTTGCCAGCAAGGAGGCCCCGTTGTTGTCGTGGGAACATGGCCGCTGTGGGGCTGTGGAACATGGCACATGGTGTCAGTGGAGAGTGAGGGGTCCATGGCAAACCGTCATGTCTTTATAACTTGATGCCAATCAAGTAGTATGATGCCTAATAATGTAGCAATGGTGACTGAGAGAAGAACATCAAGAAGTGCACATGTCCTAGTCTTAGAAATGGTAACTAAAGTAGAGGGTTTGACTCCAAACTTTTGTTGTCATTGCTGCCAGATCTCGCTGGCGGAGTTGTACGGTTCAACAGGCCGGGGACTGGGTCGACAATATAGCAGATCGTTCGAACATATGCTCTCCTGCTGAGTGCCATGCAGTTTCTACAAGCCGGAAAGCACAGTCGACAGCTTTAGTCTAAGCCAGTGCGCGGGCATGGGTTTTGCTCAGAGATACCGCACCCCCACCCCACACAGAACACGGTACTTCCCCACATTGACGTGTGTTTTTTGTTTTTAGATGTTTTTAGTGTGGTATCCGCTCCTCCTTCCTCCTCCTCCTCCTCCCGCCTCCCGCACCAACCAACTGCCACCAACCAATTGCCACCAACAAATTGTCATCAACCAATTGTCAACAACCAATTGCCACCCATGAATTGTCACCAACCAATTGCCACCCACCAATTGCCACCAACCATTTGTCACCAACCAATTGTCATCAACCAATTGTCATCAACCAATTGTTGCGCTTTGCGGTAAACATCCACAGCTGAGGGACTCGGACCATGCGGTCAAGACGCATTGATTTTTGGGGTACGTCCGTGCGCTCGGGGTGTCGGAACATCACGAAACCCAGCCCCCCCCCAAAACGTGTCCAGTTTTGATTATGGGTTTCGGTCACAGAACCAAGATTTGCATTGGGTCCTTTTACTCAACCATTCAACCTTCGGGAACAAAACCAACACCCTTTGTACAGCGCCTGCGATCAACAGTTCGAGCTGCGAGACCTTGGTAAACCGGTGATTTTTTTGGTTTCGATTTTTTCATTGTGAGCGCAGATTTCGGTCAAAAGGGTTTCAACGTCAAATCAGAAAATTAAATATTACTATATTCTTTTTACAGCGACAAGCAGTATATGTTTCTTAAAAACCATTTCTTACAACGCCTTCGGCAAAAAACATTCGGTACTTGTCTTTCTTTTGAGCACATTTTTCCAGCGGAAGTGTGTCGGGGGAAGCCCGTAACCCGAACAACAGCGCTAAACCAGCACAGCCATCATGTAGTAGGACCAGAAGGTGCAGCTTTGTATGGGCAGAATTCTGAATGTGTATTTCTTGATCTCAGCACACGCTGTTTGCCGAAAGGGCTTTAGCACTTTCAACATGTTCATGTGTTAGCTTGCTTGCTAGCCGCTAGCATTTCTGAATCCTTTGAGGCTTTGCAATGCCTGGGCCTTTTGATTTCTACAGCGACATGTTTGGTAAGATTGAAGCACCTCGGCTTTGTCAGTCAACCGTGCCACCTCTGAGCTTTAATGTTTCTTATCTTAATCTTCCTCTTTTTTCCTCGATCATCGCGATTGCCGCGGTTGCACAGCGATTCCGTTGCTTTGCCATATATGAATGTTTCTGTGGGCAGTCAAATTTGCAGACTTCAGTGCAATCTCTGCAAGTTGACTAGCGGAGGTCAAGATGCATGTCCACCTGCCACTCAGCTTGGATATGGTCTCTTTTCCTGCTCAGTGAAGTGCAATGCAGAGAGTTGACCCTTGTTGCAAAATGACCGTTTCGACCAGAAGGTGATCGAGGGGGTGGCGGAGGTCTCATGTTTTTCCTGCACCATCTCATCCAACCTAAGGGTAGGAAGAAACCTTGGTCGGAACGCAGACGGAGCAAGGGATCTTTCGATGCACCATTTCCTTTATTTTGATATTTCCTGCTGCGATTATTCTGCCGGGGCAGTCTACGCGCTCCATGCATCCTTCGCTGTGTGCCAGGAGCGGCTTAGAGCCCTGTGACACCGAATTCGCAGACAATATGGCAGTCGATGAGCGCCTTGTCGGACAGATGGTTATGTGGTGCCAATGCCGATTGGAGGGCTGTAGACATCAATCACCCTGTGACCATTGCCTCCGCGGAATGGAACACAGGAACGAATTGATGGGGACCGATTTTGGAAGAGAACAGGATCGCGTTGCGCGGAGTCGTGCCAAGGGATAAGATGGCTGCGGAGGTAGAAGAGATCCTACAGGAAATGTGGAGCTCTCAGACTTGTCCAAAGGCTCAGTCAGCCTCGAGAAAGCTAATTTTCTTGCTTGGTTGGAAAGGGGTTTGTGATGTCCATGTCGCAGTGTTGTTCCGTGTCACCTCTCAAGATATGTTTTTTGATGGTTCTCAGCTCTCACCTCATTTCTCTTCCCCAAGGTAAATGTGGCCCATGTAACCCGCGCGGTTGCTCACCTGCTCCATCTTGAAGAGACTTGGAGCCTGAGCTCGTGGCCATGCCATGCGCCATACGCGAGGTCTCATGCATTTTCCCCAATGCCGAACGGTCTCATGCACCGAATGGACCAGATAGACATGTTTAGACGGTCTATTTCTGTCCAATGAGAGCGAACGCCATGAACACCAGTGAGGCACTTTGTTGGGACACCACGGGCCATTGTCGTTTGGAAACCAACCACTTGCCGAGCGACACGGCACGGGGAGAGAGCCATTCTCTCAAATCCCAGTCAAACTTGACTTCGGGTTTGGTGAGAGCGCAGGGATGCGAATCGTCAGTCAGCTCAGATTGAAGACGTGGAACATCATGGAACAGTAATTAGACGAGTAGACTTGCTTCTTTTTCGGCGACCGTAGCACTACGGCTTAGCCCTTGGTTCGGGTCCTTTGGAAAACATTTACAAAGCCAAAGCAGCCATATGTTGGTTAACAGAGCGCCCAAGATCAAGCATTCAGAATGGTCTTAAAGCAACAGAGAGATCCCTAAGCAGAGACGAGGCTGGTTTGCAAGGGGATGCTTTCCTTTCAACTGCGTTCTTTTTTTCCACAAAACATGTGCACATGCGCATCAGTGACAAATACACACTATAATATATGTAAAAAATAGGTGGATTCATAAGCCGGAAGAAGGATGAGTGCAGCCATCGTTTGCCATCCTTCTGCTCATTTTTTATTCACACGTTTGTGTGGATTTTGGCCCAGCTCCTTAGCTCGACGAAGTTCTATTTTCTTCCTTTTGCAATCACTGGACCAGCTGCCCACTGGAGGAGATTTTGCCTTTCTTTGCGGTTGCAAAGATTTGCACACTGAGTTTTGTGGTTCGACTCCACCCTGGTGTGCTTACTTTTCTTGGTTTGCGTTCTTTCTTTCTTTTTCATCGCATCGTCGTCTTTTTTTGTCAGGCGGCTTGGAACTGACGGTGTTTACTCAGACACTTGCGAACCACCCATTCAAATTCAAGAAATGACCGACATTTTACCCGTCTTTAATCTGAGCGCTTGCATCATTGGGCCGGGCAACCATGGGGTACAAGTCCCAGGCTCAGGTGAGAACAGGCCATGTTTGCAGACCATAAGGATTGTCGTTTGCACCGTGAGCCCACGAACGCCCGCGAGCCCCGCCGTCTGCAAGATTCGCTTGACATAAAATTCAGCTCATACCATTGAAGACTGGCCGCCGCAGAACGAAAATGCACCATGTGCGGCTTTGCGAGGTGGTGTTTTTGAGGTGGTATTATGCGGAAGGCAATGTGATATTTTGTATTTTAGTAGATGTTTGGCAGCAAGAAGGGAGCAGTGGTTGAGTGCTCAAGCTTTTGGCAATTTGTACCTTTGTGCTTTGAACAGATCAGTGTGGGAGAGTCAGTAGGTCCACACCATATACATGTATATGTATATATATATATGTACACTACACTGCATTGCATATACAATATACTATATTACATTATATATATATGCACACAAACGGTTTCTTTACCCAACTTGGCATGTGGCTCCTGGTTTGGCACTGCTCTGGTATGTACAAACCCGAGCGAGGATTGTCACTGGGCATTCTCGACTTAGCCTGGGGGCAGATGGGCAGCCACGTCTTTGGATCTCATGCATGCAAGTTTCTTGCTGCCAGGACGCTGCTGTCGGCACGCAACTCCCTGCATGATTTGAGGAAGTTGTCGGCTGACTTATGTGCCATGGCTTTGCTGATAAAGCATGGTCGATCAAAGAACACTAGATAAAGGCAGTATTGCAACGTACTAAAGATACGATGTAACATGTCATGCGAAGATACGGGGCAGGGCAAGTGCTAGACAACAGGACAGGAGTAAAACGCACACGACCTCCTTGCTCTCCAGGATATCTGTCTTTGGAGCTGTTTTCCGGATCTTCAGCCCACCACTGGAAGACCAGCTTGGCTAGCTGAGCTCTAGCTGAGCATTCGTGACCTACCTAGTAGGAGCGTGGACGATTCGCATTTATGTTTTGGTGTAGGCATTTTTCAATCAGCGCTCATGGACCGTGGTGGATCCCCTGAAGTTTGCCAGGTTGCAAGACAATCTCCAGCTCCTCAGAGAAGTAGAGGCTGTCGTGAACGAGCGTGCGACAGTGACGTGCGATCAACTTTCAGCAGTGTGTTCAAAAAATAAGAGCTTCGTCAGGAGAGAAGGATTCCCGGATAGGATGCTTTCAGGAGGGATGGCTGGATTTTGGTGATTGAAAACAACGAGGGGAGATTCAGGATTCGCAGAACATCGACACGTTCGCATGGCATGGAGACCGGTCTGCACACGCGGCGAGATTTGCCATGTTTCGGCTGTCAGGCCAAATCTCAAACATCGCTGGATGCTGCACGTTCCAAGGAGTCTGTGGGACCTCGCCGTCGCCCAGAATGACACCCCAACCAATGGGGTCTATTTCTGTTTTGGGCTCTTCAAAGCGGCCATTTGGGAAGTCTTCCTGGGAACATTATCGCATGTCCAGCGTGAACTGAGTGGAATCTCTGAGGAAGACTTTTGTGTCCAAACCGGTTTGGCCTACAATCTTGTGTCCTTTTGTTTCATTTTGCATCCAGGGGAATATGCATTGGAATGCACAATGCAGAGAGCCCACCATGAATTTGCTGACACATTAAACGAAAGCGTAGAGGAGAAGCGCTTGGAATCAGACTACCTGAAGTTGAAGAATGCCTGCGGCCTCAAGCATTTGTGCGTAAATCTCTACAGAGGTATTGGATACCCTAAAGGCCCTAAATAATGCCGAAACATGGAACTCTAGGAACTCTCTAGGAAGAATGGATTGAAGGTTTCTACCTCTCTCCAATTTCGCTATCTACCGGACTCAAGCCCCTTCTAAAGCTTTGTATCTATTGAATCTTGGTGTCTCTGTGCGTTCAACATCATGAACGTAACTTGCTCTTAATGGAACCTGCAGTCCAGTCCTGGTCTAACCATTCCGGGTGTGTTTCAAGCGGAGCTAAGCGGAGCCACGGTGGGAGAACAAGCACGCCGGTGGTCGCCACGGCCGCCTTCGAGGCCTTGGAGGGAAAGATCCGTGCCATGAAGCAGGACATGCCGCCACCGTCGTCCCAACCGCCACCAGAACAAAAAGGAACGGTTTCTCAACCGCTTCTCTGGCACACTCCTGGCCTTTTTCCTTTCCGGGATGCATGTGTACCATCCGGAACCGGTGACGGTAGAACACGGTTGCATATTTCTGAACTTGGCACTGCACATCCAAGTAGCAATAAGATACTGAGATATGCCAAGTCAAAGTAGGCCTTGTCCTGCAGGACCTGGAAAGCACCCAAAAGGCTTTTGCTGATGCCACCGCCAGCAAGGCACTGTTCAAGATAGAACGAAGCGAGTGCTTCAAGAAGTTGGAGTTGAGCTGATTGGCTGTACATGACTGTCCAGTCACAAAGCGCTTCTTTTGTGCAGGCCAATGCCGAGGGCGAGCTGGCTGTTTGCGACCTGGACTGGGCTTTGCTTGTTGAAGCAACTGCAGCGGTAAGCCTCACTTCGTGCATGGAAATGTTGGTAGGAAGAATGGATCGAAGTTGTACAGTTGAAAACAATTCACTTTGCAAAGTTGCAAGAAAGACGTTATGGTGCTGCTTTACACGAGCTGGTCAAGCCCAGGGTTAGATCATCTTACTCTTAAGCTCCTTAAACCGTTTGAACCAACTGTGTCACACAAGTGGAGTCGACCTTCTCATATGTGCTTTTTGTCGGTGTACTTAGGTGAGCAAAAGCGAGTGAGCGAGAGAGAATCAGAGAAAGAGAGAGAGAGAGACGGACGGACAGACAGACGGACGGAAGAAAGGAAGGAAGGAAGGAAGGACGGAGGGAGGGAGAGAGACAGAGAGAGACAAGAGAGCCAGATAGACAGATAGTGACGTTAAGCACTTTGCAAGAGCTGCTAATCGAACAAGGAACGGTGTGGTGTGAATGGTGTGCATTATGCATGTATATGAGTGTAGATATGGTAATTTTATTGTACAAATCCGTGTTTTCTTCTTCCTGTGCAAGTTTATCCCTTGCCAGTCACGTGCTTAGTGCAGAGATGACGTTTTCCGAAAGTTTCTTTTCTAAACTTGGCTCCGGGTACTTTGTTTTTGTTTTGTGTTTAGAGCGTTCTATTGCCCCAATTAAACACCTTTCGCATTTCCATCATCCTTTCTACTCCAGTGACTTTCAGCTTTCCACACTTCACTGTGGTCCTCATGGTAACAACTCCCCCACGAACACGTTGCTGCCATGTGCTCCCCTGTCTCTCCCTCTCTTTCCTTTTCATTTCAATCAACCAACCGCCAAAACGTGCGATGACTCCAGTAAAGAGCGGTCTGCCAAAAAGCGAAGGAATTGGGCGCTTTCTGACAAAAGCGATAGGATAGGCCTCCCACCGGTCTCCTTCAAACGCGACACACCAGTCGTGTACGTCTTCCACTGTCTGACGGGCCGCGACCCTTCCGTCCAAACGGCGAAGAAGGGCGACGCGAAGCGACTGGGGTGTTCCTTGTTGAGTTCCATGTTGAGTGGTAACATGTTGTTGTTTGTTTGTCAACTTCTCTTATTTTCATGGCCAGTAGTCCATTTTTGTCGATTGCATTGACGTTCTTACGTGAAAAGCTCGAACAATAGCCGAGTGGGCAGGATATCAAGACAGCCAAGGAGTGCGGCGCTGGGCAGTTGACGTTGGAGATGGAAGAGTCTCAAACAGCTCAAAACGATGGTCGCGTGACATTTGTTGGTTCATTTGATGTTCCTTGCCCCCGGGTTTGATGCTGCAAGAAGGGGCAGCAAGAACATTTCAGACCATGCCGTCTCTGACGTTGATTTGTGCGAGAGAATCTCTTGAGGTACTTGGTGCAGGTCGAACGTGGCTGCATGGAGAAGGCCAGGACTTGACTCGATCTGACAGTGTCGAAAAGTAGAACTGTGTCCCAAACCATCCCAACCCTCCGCCAGGAATGCAGACTCAAGCTTTTCATTCGCAGTAGTTCTTGTTTGGCAGAGCAACTTAGCGTTTCATAGGGTTTCTCAGACATACTTGGACTCGTCCAATCCTTCAGACTACACTTTGCCAAGGCAGTAGTCTGAAGTATCACTTCATGTGTGATATGCCCAGCACTCCATGTCCTTTTCTTTTCAAAATGTGTGTGTCTTCAGCCCACACCTGGTGTCGCACACGCGACCCACCTCCGTTGAGGCCGGACAGTTTCAGCAGCAGAAGAAGAATCGCGGAGATGAGATCAAGGTGATGCGTGTTGGTGGTGTAAACCATGATGGGACGTTTCGGGGTGTTTGGTCGGTGAGTTGGCCTCGGTGGACGTGTGATGAGACGTTTCGATTGGAACCGACGTTGACGACTTCGACGGAACGATTGGATTGAGAACCGCAGCAAAGAAGCATTGTGAAACGAGCACATATGGTATTTAGTATTAACTGTTTTTCTTGAAAGAAGGTCTTCATATCCACCGTGAAAAGAGCACTGGGAGTTGTTCCTGTAAGTGCTGGCAGCTCACCACCGTTGTTGAGGCCATTTTGGGAGCACTGAAGGCTTTGAGAGGCCGGGAGACCAGGAACAACAGGCCGATATATTATTGTTCTGGAAGTTATATATAGCGGGAAAAAGGATGAGGGACTAATGTATACTAATATATATATATATATATGTGTGTGTGTGAATAGAATAACTTTATATATATATATATGATATGTGTCAGTACAATAATATGTGAGTAGAATAATATATAGAGAGTTCAATTGAATTGCACCCCCAGGACTCAAGAAGAGCCTACTTTTTCGTACCAGAAGATGCAGTTTTGTTCTACTTACCTGGTAATCTGCTGGTCCAAATCACTGACGATCCGAGGGTTTGTGAAGACCACAGATGGGTTTTGCAAGAAGCAGGCGTCATGAACTCCGGCAACAAGCCAACTGCCTTGAGCTTCCTGCAGTCTCTTGGCCTGAATTGTATGTGACCGATCGATACCCGATCATACACAGAGGTCTTTTGGGGCGACCAAATGACCAAGGGCAAGTCGACCACCTCGGATGGTGAGGTTTTTTTGCTGGTCCAGTGAGATTGCACACGACTGTGACACATGCAGCGTGTGTTGAATTTGCAGCGCTTGAAGGCTTGGCAGCTCCAGATCAAAGGCACAGCCCTGTTGTTCACATGCGCCGAGAGAGGTTGCTGGTCGGCACCCGCCGAAAAAGACATATAATACACACTATGGCAAACACCATTTGATTCGTCCCAAAATTCCTGGTGGACAAGACTCTAAATTCCTGGCCATCATCTCGTTGGTTGATTCGTTTTCAGGCAAATGGACTGAGATTGAGCTGATCCTCCAGATGTCTTCGATGTGCAAATCCGCCATCTCCTTCGTTGTCAGGATTTGCGGCATTTGGCGCTACGGAAGGTCCAGCAGCTGGCGGTGTCGATGAAGTCCAGCTCCCAGCGGCGTGCGTTGGTGGTTCCCAGTTCTGTCATGCTGGGCATGGTTCGGGCCAGGGTGGAAAATCCGTATCGTGAAAGGGACCCCAAGCACGCATGTTGTGCATTGCTTTGCAATTGTGACGTTGTACCAATTTTGCCCTTCAAGGTAGTTGTCCAGACACGAGTGTTTGTGTGTGCGGCTTCTGAAGTAACTGGTCATGTCAAGGCCGCTGTTGAAGGGAGGCTGTTGCTCGAATTGCTGTCGGACCGGCTTCTGAACTGCTTGCAACGTTCCGGTGCATGCCCTGAACATGAAAGCAACGTTTTAGTTTTTAGGCAGAATCGCACGAAATTGATCCGGCACCCTCTTCCCCTCCCTTCCCTCCGTCCCTCCGTCCGTCCGTGCATGCGTGCATGCGTTCGTTCGTTCATTTGCCTGCGTGTATGCCTGCTCGCTCTGCCTGCCTGTTGGAGAGTCTGCTTGTTGTGCAGCTTAAATCCGCCCACGCGACGTTTGGTGCTGATGATTGTGGGCCTGAATTCTGGTTCATGCGCACACACACACAACCACGAAAGGCCGTTTCAGAATGCATGCTTGCCATGTTCAACTTCAGATTGAATGGTTTCGTTCTCAGGAAATCTGCATTTTTCGGGGCCTACTGAGCGCAGAAAGCCCATGTGGAAAGCCCCATGGGCCTACACGGAGAACTGCTTCCCACGGAACTGAGACCGGTCGTAGTGAAAAGACACATGTAGCATGTACAGTAGCATCCCCTGCCGAATGAACCCTATAGGCCCTATAGAATCTGGGAGGTCAAGCTCAAAACGGCCGTCATAAACTTTTTTTTTTTAAAATAGAACACATTTTCTCTAGAAGGAGATATCAACCTAACCAAACTGAAAAAATATAGCCTACAAACCTGTGCATTCACAAGTTAATTTTTCATGCTGCGCTATTCCATTTTATAGAGAAGATTTTGTAGTGGTTGTAGGTTTTGATTTTATAGACAGCATTTGGAGTAGTAGAAGGCTGAGAATTGATTTCAGAGTGGAGGGTGTGTTGTGACACATTCCTACCGCGCTCTCAGGTCATCCGTCACTGGCCCAGCCTGAGAGAGATGATAGAGATGGCATATGGCAAATGGTGATTTTTTCAATCACAAACCCATAGAAGGTGTGGCCTCTGGGGAACCGGGTGCAATTGGGAACGAACACGGCGACGGAACTTGCCTGATTTTTCTTTTCGAACTGCCAAGGCCTTGAACCAGCTTGCCTCCAAGATGGGTGCCGTGAGCCGCTATGGTGTCTCTGCCATTTGTTTCCACTCAGTTTCTTTTTTACTTTTAAGATGTGTACCCACACCTGTGGACATGGCCAGGAGGTGGAGATGTCTTTGCCAAGATGCGAAAGCTGATCGAGGTGGGGATTCTCTATCTTTTTGGGAGTGGACAGAAGCGGAAGACGGAGCATTCCAGTGTTTGGGAGAAAGATATAGGCCTAAAGATTGAGAAACTCTGACAAACTTGTCCTGAGCCCTGATGAATTGACATGAATCGAATACGGAATATGACTTGCTAAGAAAGTGATAGCGCCAAACCTTACGGCTGGCTGAAGCAGCCATGCTAGACAGCAGATTGCTGAGGAACCTGTGTCATGTGCAACATGGAGCGCAGATTTTGTGGATGAACTGCAGTGGTCTGCAGCCATTTCGAAGCCTCCTAGCAAGCGGAAAGAACCCAATCCCACAAGCATGGTCGCCGCGAGCAAAGTAGCAGACCTGGCACAAAACAAGGTAGTGGTGGCAGGCGGGGAGGAAACAAATAACACATCCAAAGGCAAGAACCTTGAAGTTCACCCTGACTTCTGATCAGTCCAGTCTCTTTGGAAGGAGGAAAACTAGTCTAGTTTGTTTCGGATACCAATGTAGGTAGGCCATTTGTGAGGGGGCAACAAACCTAAGGGAGACCGTGTTTCGCAGTTTGCCAAACTATCCGTGTTTCGTGTTGCCTGGAACAGCACGGTTGGTTACTCGCCCATTGGAGCACCGACCGTGTAGGGACTGTAGGGAGGATCCGCTCAGGTGCCCTGCTGCTGACGGTCACTACAGCCTTAGATGTAGTACGACGTTGGAGGAGGAAGGGGCAGCAGCCCCCTTATCCTCCAGGCAGGGCGAAGCATTTGGATATTTGATGTAAGCTGTTGCAGAGTCTACAGGCAGAGCGGCAGAGCCCATATATATAATATAATATATATATATATAGAGCTGCTACTCTCATTGCCCAGGTGTAGTGCAAGCTGCACATAAAAACGCATGCCATCGAATCGAATTTGCTGGATTTGCAATGTGTTCTTACTTTTAACATATTTTAACCAGAAACCTGAACCAGAAACCTTGTTGGAATTCATCTTCAAGACACCTTCAACGTGGGAGATGCATGGCCGCTCCACAGGCAGCTGGCCGTTCTTGGGCCACTTCGTCACGGTGATGCGCTATTGCTGGGACAACAGCAGCTGGGCTCTTGCAAAATGGGGACTTGAGCTTCAGCGATCTCAAGGAGGGTGAGCCTCAACCTTCATGGTGCTGCTTTCTGCTGATTTGAGTGGACACCTGCAATCATCTGCATCTTGTTCGCCGCTTGTAAAGCTCTTTTCCGGAAGGGTCATCATATATGAAAGAGCATGCTGGCGTGGCTCAGTGGTGCAGTGATCTATTTATCGAATGCCGACAAGAGCAAATCCTGTTTTCGCATATGCTTTTATGTAGTCAAACCATTTCAAAGCTGATTCAGCTAGGAAAGGGTTATCCAGACAGCTTGATATGCAGCAACCCAACTCTTTTCGGTGGAGATCCTTTTTTTGAGGCATTGCGAACAGTAAGAAGTAGCAAGAAGCGGTATGTGTGCCTTCCAGCTGTTTCTTGAGCCCAGAGCTGAGAAGCTGCAGGATTCAAGACCCACGGCCTGAATTTCTGTGGCACCTACATAATTTGCCTCTCAGATGCTGACTTGGTGCAGGAGGTTTTTGAGGGAGATCCACACAGGTCTGGGCCGCCCAACATCCAGAAGAGTGCGATGGTGTAGTCAGTGACATTCAGTGACTAAGTCACCTAGGTTTGTTCAATGCCACTAGTGTGAGACATTCTTACGGAACAAACATCTGTGACTAATGGGTCATTTGAGGAGATGAGTCGTTGATGTCGACAAAGGCAGGTGTGTTGACATGGTCAGGTGCTACCTGGCTGGTATCCAGGGATGAGCCCCCAGCCCATGTCCTTCCGCAGGTTTACAAAGAACTTCAACGATTTGCCTTTGGGTGGCGATCTCCTCGAGCACCTCTGAGCTGAAGCTTTTTGTGCATCCCAAACGGTCCTCGCTTCCATTGGCAGAGTCCAAACTGCAAGGTTCAACGCTCCTATTTTCGAGCTTAAAAGCGGCTGTCGAGTGTACACTTCTCGTTTTGTGCGTTTCATCCGTTTTGGACGTGCACTCCTCCCTGGTCGGCAGGTTTTTTCGTCTGCCAACCAGCATTCCTCAAAAGTGAGCCTCCGGCCCAAACCGCTTCACACTCCGCAGATCTTACACTGGCGGATTTCTGCCATTGGTCCCGTCACCGCATGGCACCGAGCATCGGTGTGGAAGTTGCCGAGCTGGTCCTCATAGACAAAGTTCGCTTCTCGAAGGCTTCTTTGACCTCTTGTGGCCCTCTGGCAAGCCCCACACACCGGCTGCTCGTGAACTTGGTTAGCCTTCCTCAATCCCCTGCAGCTTCTCTGTCTATGGAAGCACTTGCTGGACTCGGCAAACCAGATCTTCCACGTTGGCTCATTGGGGAACCGTCTCCTCCTCCCGGTCAGGGTGATCTGTAGATGATGCCCTCCAGGTAGGTCAGCTTGATTCGGCGGTTCCTCTTGTGGCTCCTCCAGTGCAGGATCTGCTCTTCCTCGATGTCCCTGTCCATCGCTTCCACTCATTCTGGTACTCCTTGGTGATGAGGATGAAGCACTGTGCCCCCCAGGGTTTAACGGCTGCCATTCTCCACCACCTAGACGTTGCTCTTGTTCTCCTTCTCCTTGGGGTCTGGTAGAAGTCCTTGTTCCGGAAGAAGACGGTCCAGCCAAGCGAGAGACCCTTACTCTACGCGTCGCCGGTTCATTCTCCACCCGGTCCCAATGCATGCGGCATCTTTGGACAACCTTCATGAGCACCATTCCCAGCAACATCATCATGACGCTGAGGAGGTACAAGATCTGGTCACCCTCTACATTCTCATCGACACCCTTGGTGACGTTCTCCGCCATAGCTCCATGAACTTCTTTCAACGCCGACAACACCACAACAAGCTTCATGGCCTTCTCCAAGTGGTACTTGGCGACCAACTTCATAGCACGAGGCGCGACAATGCCTTTATCCTCCTCATGTACTTCATCAACCGAGTCGGGCTGCCAGGACATTCCCATCCGTTGTCTTAGTTCGTTGACTCGGGCCACGGGCAAAGCCTTGGTGCCGATGTCCGCAATGAGCTCTCTTCCAGGTTGATACTTCAGTTCCCATTGACCTGATTGGATCCTCCATTTGAGGTGGGCGGCCCGGACCTTCAAGTGTCTTGTACGCCACGCTCCAGTTGCACAACTTGCTATTGACACTGCAGCAGTGTTGTCGCACTTGAGGAACTTCGGGACGTCCTTCGCCATCTCATCGACCATACATGCGATGCTGTCTCCCACAACCACAGCTTCGATGACCTCGATGAGCTCTGCTTCTGCCGTTGAAAGTGCCGGAAACGGCTGCTTGCAGCTCTTCCATGCCACCGGTGCTCCAGCCACTGTTGTGATCACACATCCATGGCTATGAGCGCCTCCCGGAGCAAAGGATGCATCACTCACTGACTCCAGGATGAAGTTGGCATCTCTGCGGTACCACAAGCCCAGGCCCTGCGTGGCATTCAAGTGCCTGATCAGCTGGTATGCGGTTTGAACCGCCCATTTCGGTGTCCGGCTTGTCGCTGAGCAAATCCGGCTGACCGTGTAGGCAATGTCTGGCCTTGTCTTCGTTGCCAGCCACAAAAGTTCTCCTCCGAGTTGTTGCGCCTCTCGGACCTGCAAGGGCGTGCGATCCAGCTCATCCTCGGGTTCCTGGGATTCCTTCATCATCTGAGCGCTGCAAAGGTCCTCCATGCCATGTCGCCGAACCACTTCCCTCAAGTAGGAACATTGATTGGCAAAGAAGTCTCCTTGCTCAGTTCGACTCAACTCCATTCCACAGTACCGAACTGGTTCACGATCTCCAACCCACGTAGGTTCGGACGTCTCCCAGGTCCTTCGAAAGCTCTGGAGCCCTCCTTCCACAATCTCTCTAGTGCCGAAGAGCATCACATCGTCCACATACACCAGGGCGAGTCCCTCGACCTGGTCTCCATCTCCAGCATCCTTCCTGCGCACCAACCACAAGTTCTCCTCCGCGAAGCTCTGCTGGTACTCATAGGTGATGAAGTTCGCTTGAAAGGACATCTGGCTTATCTCGATGTCCCTGTAGTCCCCCCAAAGTTTCGGAGACTCACGCAAGCCATACAAGGCCTTCTGCACCAACCACATCTCCCCTTCTTTCCAATCCCAGCCGGACGAGGATCTTTGGAGGAAGCATGAGCACCAGTCGTTTCCTCTTTGTGAGGTCCTCCTCCTGCTGCCCCTCCACGGTCATTTCTTCTCGGCCACCGTGACCTCCTCCAGCTTCTCCATGGTCCTCTTGAGGTCGACCATGGGCGTCTTCCAAGGCGATGTTTTTCTTCCGGCTGCTCTCCTGCAGCGTCCGCAGAGGAGCATTCAAGAAGGCAGTCTTTATGTCCAGGCTAGCTGCCTGCCAGCCCCGCGCAGCAGCCAGTGCCAAGGAGGTCCTCAAGCATGTAGTGTCTGCTCCACCTGCATAGAGTTGAGCTGCCTCCGAACGATCTCCAGGCCCTCTTCCACCTCCCTTCAGGTAGTTTCCGCACACCACCAGGCGACACTTCCGACGTCCATCGGGAGCCTTCACGGCATGTATAGCCTTCCCCGGGACCACCTCCACCTTGTCCCCATGCTCCCTTTGGTAATAGGCCACTTCTGCGGGACTCAGTCGCTGAATCGCCTTCTTGCCCTCCAAGGACTGGATCTCCTTCGTAATAGCTTCTAGCCAAAGGTCCCGGTCTTTGTACACCTCATCGTTGGGTACGATCGGGTTTGGAGAATTTCGTCTTCCAAGAGTCGTTGGGTCGATGCCACCTGTTCTTGCCGTAGAGCAACCAGGCCTCGGCTCAACGGAGGAACCTCTCTTGGAGCAGATCCCAACAAGTGACCCTCCTCCTCATAGATGGCCTGAAAGAGCATTCGACGATCCTCCTCCCTTTGTAGGTCTTCTTCTCCCTGTATGCAAGCCAGTGGCGTCTTTTCTCTCAACCTCCAGCGAAGCCGTACAGGATCATCTTGGATATGGACCTCCTCCAGGACCAAGTCCCGTTCGTCAGGCTTAGGCTCTTTGACATCCTTTATCAAGTAGCTCACCACCTTGACCTTCTCCTTGTCCGTGAGAACCGCATGCCCTTTGGACACCTGTGGTGTAGGGGTCAGGTAGGTCACCGTCTCGGATGTCACTTCGAAAGGTCCTCCTCGCTCCCAAGCTCGCTTTCTCACCGTGATGAGCTGCCCAAAGCGTGGTAGCGTCTCCTTGATGTTCTCCCTTCTCCTTCTTTCCAGCTCCGTCACGTGTCTAGCCGCTGCCGGCCACCACTTCGTGGGCATGCCCGAAGCATGTAGAAGTCGACGGACCCTTTGCTTGATCGACGCGATCATGGCCTCAGCACGACCGTTGGATTGGTGTTCATCCGGAGGACTGAAGGTTCTCGCCAGCCCCCTCTCCAAGCACCACCTCTTGAACGGGTTGTTGTCAAACTCCCGGCCGGCATCGGTGTGAATCCTAGCCACAGGGTAGCCGTGGCGTCTCAGCATTCCAAACAGTTCCTGCGTTCCAGCGAGGACTTCCGCCGCGCTCTTCGAGGCCAGTGGTAGGCAGATAGACATTGTGATCATCTCGTAGGCCTTCTGGTGCTCTTCGACTTCTTCTGGAGTCCTTGGGAGCGGCACCGAAAGTGGTTCTGGATCACAGGGTCCTGGATCCGGTAGCGGCTCTAACCGATCACCGTTTCCTTCACCCTGCCGTTCATCCTCCTCCGGCTCGCCCATCTCCAGATCCTCGCCCTCATCAGACGTAGGTCTATAGGACATCTCTTCACCATGAGCCTCCAGATCCTGGGCCAGGTCATACTCCACCTCCCGAAGGGCCTCTTCCTCCTCGAGTGTCGGCCAGTCCTTGTCTAGGGGCGCTTCGAGCTGTTCAACCTCATCCCATGGGGCTTCCTCCATAACCGGCCATGTGTATGCTCCAACCAGGAGGTACTTCTTCAGGTCGCCATCGATGTCATGGCCAAGCACAAATGGTCCCGTCAGGTCCAGCGATAGCACACACGGGGCTGCGATTCCTTGAGCTCGATGTGGTCGATCCCGTGCGGCTGCTCTCTGACAGACAGCGCAGTCTTTTCGGAACGGCGCATGTCCCTGCGCCAAGTGCTCCTGCCATGACAAGGCCTTCTTCATTGTCACCCGCCTCTTCTGGATGTTGACTGTGATACTTCGAGCAATCTCTCGCATCATTCCAGGAGCCCATCTTGCCAGCTCTGAACTCGACACCTCATGCTTGGTCTTCAGGAAGGCCTTGGGTGGTCCTCGATCCTCGGGGACCATGAACTCCATGTTGAGAGCCAGTGATGTAGGTTTCACCGCCATACCACCATAGGCCCCTTGGTTGAAGGTCACCAGGTCCAAGTTGAGGTGCTCTTTCATTATCCTCCATTCCTCAGTTCTCCAGAAGGATGCCACTTCCGGCATGTGCTGAGGTGCTGCTGGCTGCTCCATCAAGAACCTGACCGTCGGCAGCAACGCGGAGTTCTTCTCCTGGGACAATCGTGCATCTCGACCCAGCTTAGCCACCACATAGAGCGTCACCATGCGCAGCAACAGCGCATCGTCTAAGTGGCACTTTGCCCTCTCCACTTCGTCCAACTCGTCCAAGCCCCACGGTCTTCCCAAGGATCTTGATGGTCCTGGCAGTCCCGTGACCGGATGGTGACGTAGCTCGCTGCGGGTTCTGCAGTTGGGTCCACCAATCACCGCATCGATCCAGCCCAACATAGCAATCCGTAGCAGTGCTGCATACATCGCATCGTCCTTTGACAGGTCATGACTTTGGGTTCGAAGGATATCCACCTCCAACAACCTCGTAGTGTCTCCACCAGCCTCCTTGAGCGCCCTCGTAAGGTCGTAGCCCTCATTCTTCCCAGCATAGAGATGAACCACCACTCCCTCATTTCTCCAGCGCTTTCGGATGCGTCGATTGGCTCCAAGGACATCAAGATTCCTCGCTGGGGTATCCACCAAGCGATCCTTGATCCGTATCGGGACCTTGTCAAAGATCGGACAATCTGCCACAACCCTGTCCAGCCAGTCGACATCATTGTGGGTCTCCCCAAACCGGTAGCATCTCAACGCCGTCCTCGACCGAGATTCCTCCAGCTCCCTGATGAGGTCCAACGCTACGTCATGGTCCATTTGAGGGCATCCCGCTTCAACTCTGAGGTCGATGTTGCCCTTGACTGGGTGCTCCAAAGTGCAAGCTTCCCCTGCCCACTCGATTCGACATCCCAAGTCGCGAACGAGCCTTCCTGCCGGGACGATCGGCTTGTGCTCCTCCAGCAGCCAACGTCACCCTCACCTGGCGATATCGCTGAAGGTCTTCCCCTCGGAGTTTGGGCCTCAGAGCATGCGTGGCCCCAGAATCCAGCAGTCCTTCTCGACCCTGTTGAACTCGAGCGATCTTGACTGCCCGAAGCCCTGGGCCACCCTTTTCCCATGCTTGGTTCAGCTTCTTCAACGTCGCACCAAGGTCTGTTGCACGATCTTGCCCTTCTTCTTCGAGGTTCATGCCCTTGAGCAACTTGTGCGCCTCATCAAGCACGTTCTTGATTGGGTCCGCTGCCCTTGTCGTGGTGTCCGACACCGCTTCCGAGACCACCGACTGCGAGGATGCCGCTTGAGGAGACATCGAGGCCCCAGACTCACTTTGCGAAGTCCCATTTCCACCACCACCAGTCTTGTCCAACAGCTTCTGAAGAGATGGGGGTCCCTCTCCTCTCTTTGCCGTTTCTTTCCTCGGGCACTCTCGAGCTAGATGTTGTGTAGCTCCGCACGTGAAGCACCTCCTCTCCTGGTTCGGCTTATCACCAGTTTCCAGTTGATGCGCCCATTTGCACGACTGTCCCCTTCGACATCCAGACTCGGTGAGGAAGTATCGGCAGGGACCCTTTGCTGAAGTCGTTGGCGAATCTCCCTTTTTTTCCTTGTCCTCCCCTTGGAGAGCCTTTACTGCCAATGGTCCACCTCCCTGATTTCCAGGCCTCGTGGTACTCGACGACGGTCGGACTCGATGCATGAGCTGTTCAAGTTCTGCAAGTAAATGCTCAGCGTACGTCCGAACAGTCTCCTCATTGGGAATGGTATCAAGCTGCAAGGTGTTCTTGACCAAGGCACATCTGAATTGCAGATCCGGTTGTTGAGTGAGGATCCGCTTGCTAAGTTTGTTGATGCCCTTCATGAGGATGATCGCATCAGGAAGGTTCAAGCCAATGTCGGTGGCCCTCCTGAGCCAGCGCATCCAGCGTCGGAGCCCCATACAGGCTTCGCTCGGCGACCCTGCTTCTGGCGGATCTTCAAGTTGTCGCAGGATGATGGTGCGTTCATGAGCACCCCCTGGTTGATAGAGGACCATGAGTTTGCTCACCAGCCCCAGCGGTGACAAAGTCCTCATTGCCACCAGTTCCTCCTTCACTGTCGTGGGAACTGAAGACAGCAGCATGCTGATGGCCCTCTTCTCCACTCGAGCCCACTTTGGCCTTTGCAACTCAGCTGACGGCTCGATCTTGGATGAGGCCCTCTGGATTGGGCGGAGCTTGATGTACTGCTTGTACCAAGCCCTTGCTTCACTCACCACCAACTCCCACCACTCGCCCGACGAGTCACTAAGATCTGTCATTGCCGGTTCCACCATAGTGAGCCAGTCAGCGAGGTCGATGGGAGCCGTATCGGATGGCTCTGCCAGGACCGGAAGTGTGGCCGTTCCCGGCTTGACCGACTCAGGTCCTTCTTGCTTCTTTTCCTTGTCGACCAGGTAGGTGATCAGCATGGACATCGCATCAGCCATGCCACCACTGCTTTCTCTCGACTGTTCTTCCCGAACATTTGCAGTTGAAGATCGACCAGGCTGCTCAGCTGTGGCTTTCTTCTTTGGCTGACCCACACCTTTCCCGGTTCCTTGTCTTCCTTCCGGTTCGAAGCCCTTCGCCCGAGATGCCACCAAGCCCTCAGGTTGACCTCCTCCCTGACGTGCAGTTCTCGGACCTTGAGATCTCGACCTCTCTCGTTGTCCTTGCCCCCGACCACCTCGCTTTGCTGGCGCCGGAGTGACCGTCCCCATCAAGGATTGGAGCTGCTCGAACTGTTGCGTGGGAGTCAACTCATACAGCCGGCGTCTTTCCACCTCCAAGTCTGTCTCCCTCAGAGGTTCGTCGACCGTCAATTCCAGCTGACGCTTCACAGGCTCATCGCTTTCTGGCGTTCTGAAGGCCTGCTGCTCCAGCTCACGTTGTAGATCATGGACCTTGGCTTCCAGGCTTGCCCTTTGGTACTTCATGGCGTCCATGAGCTCTGCCTGCTGAATTTGCAGTTGTTGATTCTCCTGCTTCAACATCGCCAACATGGTCATCATCTCCTGTGGATTCGGCGGACCAGGGCCATAAGGATGCAGTTGAACTTGCCATCCTCCTTGGTGCGGCATAGGTCCCCTCCTCTCTTCATGGGGCATGATGTACCCAGGTGGGCCAGCTTGTCCAAAGCCTCTTGGAACATGTAGACCTCTTCCTCCCGGTCCGTTCCCTTGGATCTGAACCACCGATTGTTCTCTAGGTTGGGGATGTTGTTGCCCATCGCTGTCACTTTCAGGCTCTTGTACTTCAGGTACCCGTGGTTCTCTTGGTCGTCCACGTCGTTGGTCATCTGGTACATGATCGCCCACCAGTGCCGGCGATGGTGTCCCCGTCGTCGTGCTCGTTTGTGGAAGCACTCCCACCGGACCTTCTTCTTTCGGCAGGAACGTGGGTCTCTCTTGCTTCACCTCCTCTGGCGACCTGTTCCCAAGACCAGGCTGCCAAATGCTCTGCCTCGGGACTTGAGCATACAAGTGAGGAGCTTGGCTCTGCACTTCATGAAGTCCCTTCAACTGCTCAGGCGTGAAGAGCGGGGTCATCGGCGTCAGGGTCGTAGGTGGTCCCTTCGGACCTTTAAGGGTCTCTTCCCCTTGATCTTCGCCATCCTCCAACGCCAGCTGACCCTCCTCCAGCGGCTGCTCTTGTAGTTGAAGGCCTGCTTGATCGTTGTCTTCACCTTCTCCATCATCGCCTGGCTGCCGCCTTCGTCGGCGTGCCACCATCGACATGGCGCGGAGCCGCGGGGCTGCCCGGCCTTGCCTCCGGGTCTTACACCTGTCACCTTGGGCTCATAACCTGCAAGGTTCAACGCTCCTATTTTCGAGCTTAAAAGCGGCTGTCGAGTGTACACTTCTCGTTTTGTGCGTTTGATCCGTTTTGGACGTGCACAAACAACTCGTTTCGTGATCAACAATCGTATGACTCAAAGTGAATGTAGTCAAATTTGAACATTCATGTGATTTCCTTTCCCATCCCAACCTTCTCTCAAATAACCTGAGCGTTAGCCCGCGTTTGCCCGTGGGGTCGGACGCGTCGCTTCGGTCATCGGGTCACCCGGTCACCCGGTGAGTCGTCGTCGTCTCGGTGCGGCTCTTCGTCCGGCTTCGGGGCGAGCGACTCGGGCGTCGTTTCTTCGCCAGGTGCAGAGGGTAGCTTCTTTGTGACGTTCATAGCAAGAATGCTAACTATAGTGGTGCCCTTTGTTACTAGGGCTGCCCTTTGCTACCTAGTAGCAGCTTCTTGTTACTAGTAGGGCCAGGCCAGGAGCGCCCCGTTCGAGTCGCATCCGATCGCCTCGCTCCGAGTACATCGACACATGCCCGTTGCCCTTTCTGACGTTCGTATTGTCCTCGCCAGGTACAGCTTCAAAGATGGGCTCTTCACAGTGAACACAGACAATCCAGCTTGGCAGGTGGCCCATCGGATTCTCATCTCGCCCTTCTCTGTTCGAGGTGCGGTTCGAGGAGGTGTTCTGGGCTCTTGGTGATCAACGTCCCAAAAAGCCGACGTCGTGGCAGGATCGGCAATCCCCATTTCTTGCCTTAGTCTTTCCGAGTGGTGGTTAGTCTACAGGCTTCGCTTCTAAAATGCTGCGACATTGAGCCCAAACCAAATTCCAAAACATATTCCCACATGAGTCGTTGGAGCAAACACCGTATCCATTTCCGCCCACCGGTCATGACCCGGTCCGCCCCTAGGTGTTCGTGGCATCATGCCGATGATGTGCGACCAAGCCGACCTCTTGATCAAGGCGATGAAGCGTGACGTGGGATACGGCGGGACCACCTACATCGACGCTGGGACCGTTCGAAGACTTGGCGAATCGAAGAAAACGACAGAGAGCGCTTCTCGAATCGCGTCCGAACCGCTGGGCCAGGTGTGTTTTTGGTGAGCGAAGATACGGAGAGCCAATCTTAAGACCTGCTGATGCATGTAGCAGATCGATTTGTCCGTTCTTTTTTTGTTACAGATGTAAGTGCATCTTGGAGGTTTTTTCACTTCTAAGGCCCGTGTGGCTCTTGTTTCACCCACTCGTCGTGTTGTTTTTGTTTTTTTTGTTCCTGTATTCTTTTTTTCTAAGAATGCACTGACGAGGACACTTGGGTGGTGAAGATGGCCTTCGAAACCATTGCAGTGTGCGGATTGGGCACGCCTCTCGGCTGGCGAAGATGGCCTGCAGGGATGAAGCGAAGGCGAACTAGTCACATGGTGCGCTGAAAACACAGTGCTCGCGCCAGTCACATGGGCAGTTTTGTTGCTCAGTCACATGGGCTTTCTCAACAACTTCTTTTGGCCACTTGGATTGGTCTCTGGGCTTTGGGCCTGTGACTCCTGAAGCAAGTAGGGACAGGCCGCTTTCTTTTCCGTGAATGCAACATAGACTGTGCACAGGCTTAAAAGCCTGTTGGTGGGCGTGACAACTGGTTGAGGATGTAAATGTAGAGGCAATGCATTGCAAAGTCAAAAATAGCAGCACCAGGTCTCCTTGGGTCCGGCCCAGCTGGGCCGATTGGCGGCTCAACCGTTGTTTTCGAGGTCTTTCGGATGCTTTGAGAACGCCGAGATCAATCCCTTTGTGAAGCACTTGAACGAGGTGCGCGAAAAGGGACAGCATGGTAGAACGAGGTGCAGATCGTGCATTTGAGGAAGTTCTACTAGTTCTACCATGTTCTACCCTGATTTTTTCGCGAGCGTCTCTTCACGAAAGGTAGGGTTATGCTACCTGAGTTTTCCTTTTGCTTTAGCAAAAATGAATTATAACCAGAGTGGACACCCATCTCACTGAGAATCGCCCTACGACATTTCATTTTAGAGGCCGGGGGGGGCCTCCCCCCCCTCTTTCAACTCCACCCTGGCGCGGCTCTTTGTCAACGGCTAGAAAACACCGTAAATAGCAGTGTTTTCAGCTCCTCCATTCTGCAAGAGTTGCCTCAAACCACGCAATTTACAGGGTTTTCTGTGGCTGTCCGGCCAAAAACCTCGTAAAAACCGATAGTTTTTGAAGTGTCTAGGCTTCAAAAATGGTCGAAACATGACCAAAACCAGGAAAAAATTCGTCGGAAAGGGTTGTTTCGGCTTTTGGAGGCTTCAAAATGGCTCAAAACGACGGTATTCACACGGGTTTGTGCATCTTCCCGGCACCAAACCCTGTAAATTGCGATGGTTTTGGGCTACATACGCTTCAAAGTGGCCACAAAACACCGTAAATACCAGTGTTTTCAGCTCCTCCAGTCTTCAAGAGTGGCCTCAAACCACGCTATTTACAGGTTGTTTGTGTGGCGGCTCGGCAGAGAAACGCATAAAAGCTGATGGTTTTTGAAGTGTCTAGGCTTCAAACATGGGCAAAACATTGCCAAACACCTGGACAGATTGTGTCGGAAAGGGCTGTTTCGGCTTTTGGAGATTTCAAACTGGCCAAGCACGACGGTAGTCTGCAAAGTCCCGGATTACTTGTGATTCCCTGCTACCTTTCGTTCACCCCCTCCTCTCTCAAGTTAGAACTTTAGACCCTGCTGCCACAGACCTTGCCGCTCAAATACAACTTCGTGTAGATGTATTTTTTAGACCTTTACTCACAGAAACTCTATAAGTCCAAACCACTGTGAACTTGCTGAGTTGGGGATGCTTCGAAGGAGGTCTGTGGCCTCATTCTGCTGAAACGAATTTGTCAAACTGTCGGGTAGCAGAGACGGGATCTCCCAATAAGCTATCCCCAAGCAGAATGAGGCCACAGACCCCCCTTACCCAGCTCGAAACTCTAGAGAGGTTTAAAGTGACGCAGAGAAGCTCAGACACGTTTAATATCGTTTAATTATGTTTCAAGAGTTTTTAGAATGACACTGTAAATGTTAGAGTACAGTAATTCTTAAAACATCTCCAAGTCAAAGACTTTCGAAGCCGTGACCCTTTGACCCACCTCTGGTGGCCGTGGGGCCGGGCCGGGTCGGGGACTCACGACTTCCCTGACGTGAATCCAAGTGCGGCAACTTCCTCTCGGAGTGTTAGAGCGTTTGTCATCCTTCCGTCGTTTCTCACAATGACATACCCCTCAGAACTCTTGGCTCAAATTCCCCAGACGGTTCTTGGCCAGCCCCTATATACACTGCTTGGGATTTGAGTCAAGAGTCCTGACTGGGGTATATGTGCCAACGCCAAGCGTCCCAGGTCGTGGAGTCTCTGGATGTTCTCGGGCGTTGGCCACCATTCTTGAGGCGCATTTTCTGTCGCCAGCGCTTGCAAAGCTACATTGACAGCTCTGCAAGCCCCTTGGCCAGCAGTCAGCAAAAGTATGCTATGCTTTCAAGATCTTTCAAGCATGTGGTTGTTGGCTTGGTTTGATATGTTTGGTGGCTCATTTCTGCTTGCGGAGCCTGGAGTTTCTTTTGGCCTCGGCAAACTCCCATTGAACAACGCGTCGTTTGAACGCGAGACATCTGGGCGGACGTGTCGTGCGGAAAAACACGCGAGGTGTACGACGGACTTGCATGGAGATTCTGCAGCGTCGAAAGAGTGAGGAGCACAAGGAGTCGCACAAGGCCAGGTGTGTTGACCGTCCGCCTACGATCCGGGCAGACGATCCCATGGACCCCAAGAGAGAAAAAACCCGTGGTGGAAGACCACTTTCCAAACACTCAAGAACCTGAAGCTGTTGCCACATCAAGCTCCTTCAAGCGTGGGGTTTATGAGCCAGGACCTCTTGGACAGGATGCTATCGGATGCAGATCCCAAAACTGGGCAAAAGATGTGGCCTGATGCAATTGGCCTAGTCAGATTAGTCAGTACATAAGTCAAGCAGAAAACCAGTGCAGTGAGTCGTTCATCAGTGATTTCTCTAATGATGGCCTTGTGCATAAGAAAGGACAAGACGAGCACGTTGACCACCCTTGTTGATTTGCTTGGGAATCATCATTTAGACCTTGCAGTCGTACACACACACACACAGTTTGAATCTGCAGTCGGAAGCCTTGCAAAGTCGAGCCTTCGCTCTTCAATGAAGTGAGCAGAAGCTTAGAGTTCACTGGTCCGTACTGACCATGTGGCTGGTTTCGTCAAAACTTCCCCCACCAAACCATGGGAGGTTGACATCCCTAAAGAAGAGGAATCTGTTCGGATCCGGGGTCGTGCCCGCCCCGATGGTGCCGGTGTGACCGTCCCATGCGGCCTATCGAGGTCCGAGGAGTCGGTGGTGGACAACCTCCTCACGTTCCTGTTTGCTGGTCAAGACTCCACTGCTGCAGCCATGGCTTCATGCCTTTGCTATTTGTGTGCGAATCCCACGTGCAAGGACCACGGGCACTGGGGGGAGAAAAAACGGCGGCCTCAAAACGGCTCACCGGCACTGGCGACTGGGTCATGAAACGCAGGAGGGCCTTGTTTCAGCTGACAAGAGCAAGAGCAAGTCTATGTAAAGCAAGTAGTAGCTGAGTTTGCATGGAGAACGGAAGACCCTCCCTCCCTTTTCCATTTGCACATGGGTTGAATCTGACAACTGTAGGCAATGTCACTAGAAACAGGCCGACGGGCCGACAGCAATATTGTTTGTGAGCATTTTGCTTCAAGATGCCTCACACCTATACATTTCTCTTCTCTTCTCTTCTCTCTTCAGACGGAGGGTGGCCGGTGCTTTGCATGTCATTGTAGGCCACCGGTGCTACTTGTTAACTCCGAACTTGTTCGGCGAAGCGAAGAAACCGATAAAAAACCGTTCAGACCTTCGTCCTCTTGGATCCCGCGCGGTGGGCCCGCGGCCCACGGTGGACCCGTGGTGGACCGGTGAGGAGCGACTGCTGCGGGAGATCGATGAAGTGGTTGGAAAGGATCAGTTGAGCTGGGAGCACCTGAACGAGCTGCAGTCCACTGGATGATCAATGATCGTGATGAATGGGTGGGGTTGAGCTTGCAGACCCTGAAACACTTGTTGGCTCCAACTGATGGTTGGACGGTTCATTCTGGGAGTCGATCTGAAGCTACGCCAGCTGTTTTACTCGAGGTTCTAGACTGAAGTTCTAGACTCCAGAGTTCCGGATCGAATCGGGAACACGTCCTCCAGACGATGGACATGCTTCATGACCCTCGCGTCTTCCGCCCCGCCGTCTTCGGCCCGTTTCTTCCTTTGGGCCCCTGGCGAGACGAACGGGGGCTGAAGTCGGCCACAGCTCCGATCTCCTCCATTTCCTGGTGTTTTCCGGATGTTTCCTGGTTTCCTACCAGGTCTGAAGTCTTTTTCACTGTGACATTCAGTGACAGTGCAAGGGATTGGTGGTGTCTTTTTTAATCTTTTTTCTCTTCAAGGAGTGGTTAAAAGGCTTTTGCGACCCTTGGAGCTCCCCATGTGATCCAGGTATTTGGATTGGTGCATCAAGGAAACCTTGCGCCTCATGCCGCCTGGGAGCCTCCTGCTGCGCACCTCCACCCGAGAGCAAGTACTTGGCGGATGGTATGTGCCGGCCAAGGTGAGTGCCCAACAGGAGATTGGCCTTAAAATGAGGAGCCCTCCACCACCCTGGCTTTTAGATGGGAATAAAAAGACGAACATCCATTGGAAACCACATTAATCGTTATAGTTCTATATGAGCACATATATATAAGTTGATGTCTGTCTTTCTTGATCCAGTGTGTGTTGCAGGGGTGGAACATGGATGAACGCATAAGTAGTAGTATCGTTTCACAGAGGTCGTTCCACCATGTTGGAGAGCAAGTTTTCGATTCATTTCCATTTCCAGCAGGTTCCCATCATCGTGAACATTTTGGCCCTCCACTACAGCAACTTGGCCAACCACGCACAGCAGACTGCAGACTGCCTCCAGGTGTAGAAGAAGACACGTCACAGAACATCCATGTTCACATCGATGAAGATGAAAAAAACAATGGCATGAACTTGGCATGAACTTGGCATGAACCATCATCAAAGCACTCGGTTCACTGTACACTCACTGTTCGTCCTCCCGACACGTCGTCACGTCCCAACGAGTCACGTCCGAGGTGAAGACCTTTGGGGTGCCGATGTGAACGAGTTCAAGCCGGAGCGATGGGAGTGCCCCGGGCTTTGGTTTGCATCCTGGGGCCCTTTTCCGGGGGAAACAAGAACAGCACAAGGTGGGGGAAGCAGATGGAAGCAGTCGTCACCAGTCATGATTTCTGCAAAAGAAGTGCAAAAAGGAACAGAGCGTCATAAAACATCATGCATCCAAACCCTGGATTCTATCATGTCACATTTTGTCACGGCCAACTCCAAAATCCTGCCACAGTCGTAAGGCGGTGAGGCAGCCATCGTTTCGCTGATTTGGGCAACTCATGTGCCATTTTTTCGGAAACGGCAGCGGGGCCGTAAAAGACTCGCATCTGAGGCGAGGCTTGCCTCACAAGTTTGCCTTTATGCCCTTTGCTCATGGACCTCGGGCCTGCATTGGTCGAGAGTTCACACTGATGGAGCAGAAGGTGACCATGGTGTAGCTGGCTCTTTTATGGTTGACACGTGCAACATCGTGCAACCGGAAGAGGGTTAGGAACAGTCCGCAGCTTGACGTCAAGATGTGAAGTACATAGTGCAGAAGAACTTGTGTTTTTTTTCCCCAAACAGTTTACTGTTGGGGTTCTATCTTAGAAAGAAAAGAGCTGGCCACACTCACTGTGGCAGGGCTCTGTGGCTGGGCCTTGTCCTCCCCTTGTCCTCCTCTTGGCCG